CCAAACCCAACTGGGGACCTTTTTTTCCCCCCCCCCCCCCCCCCTCTTCTCAGATATCGCCTTGCCTATGTCGCTTCGCCGGCTAAGAATCCTCAAACATGATGGATATGATCTCCTCCAGCATTGTAAATACTAAATGCGCGCTGTCCGGTGTAAAACATGTCAGCATCTATAGAAAATGCTACAGAATTTGGAATGTTGCTTCATCATAACCCAGGAAAACCACTCACTTAAGTCGCGAATTGTTCAAAGTAGCAAAGATACGCCGACTAGCAGTTTGCGCATTCGCTCTGCCAACGACGTTCCCTGCCAAGTCCGGTACAAGTGTGGCCAACATGAGGCTTGCTTCCGTGCGAGTCTTCTTCTTTTGCGCTTCGGATCTTGGCTTCCTATCGCGCTGCAATACCCCGTTGGGCCACATGCTGTCCTCCACCAGAGCAATGTATCGCAGAATAGATTCATCCTGCAGCAGCATCTTGACAATGTCGCGCACCTTCCTCTCAATAGTGCCTCCCAAAAGCTGCTGTAGGACCACGACAACTGCGCGCCCACGAAGCCAATTATTCCCTCTGTTCAGTTCGAATACTTCCAAGAAGATGTCGCAGATAGGCTTGATGAAAGGCTCCAGTTCTTTGTTTTCGAATGCGTTCAGTTCCGCTTCTGCCTCTGCGGCCGGGAAGGCTTCTTCATTCACGTTGAGTGGCATCGCATTGAGTTGGTTCGTGGCGGCGGCAATGAGATTCTGGCCAGCCACAGATATCTGGTCCAAGACAGGAATATTGCCCAAAATATCGTCCATGCCATCCGCGACAGAGTCATAAAGTCTGGATACAATGTCCTTCTTGTCTTCGCGATCCAGGATATCCTGTCCAGGGGTAATCACACTCTGGGACAAGAACGCGCGAAGTTCTCTACTACGACATACTTCGGGGAGGAGAAGTAGCTCTCGTAAATACTTCTCTAGGGCCTCTCTTCTCTTGCGGAGGAATTCGCTTTGGAATTTCATGACAACTCGTCGGCGAGGGAAATCTAGGTTCCTTACTGATGGATATCTGGATCGTAGCTTCTGGTGGAGGTCGTGGAACTCACTGTATCGTCTTGTGACTATCCACGACGCGGCAGGCATTTGCTCACCAGCGTTCCGTTGCACTTCGACAACATACATGGCAAATTCTCTGCCATCGTCCTCCCTTCCAACTTGAATTGACTTGATCTTGACTGAAGACCGGCCGTAGAGACTATTGTCACTCTCCTGAACAACATACTGCTGTCGTTGAAGCTCCTTGCGTCGGATTTCTCTTTGCAAGCTTGCCTTGGACTTGCGCAAAATTCGCAACTCGGATGTGTTGTTTGTTAGCTCAGCCTTTCGCGTCAACGAGTCTACAATGGCTTCTTGCGCAACAAGACGGTCAATATCGTTGGTCAAAGCGGTTATAGCTTCAGCAAGACCGAGGTCACCCGGTGCTGCTTCATGGACCTCGTCGTCTTCGTCTTTGTCGGTATTGCCTTCTTCGGCATCTTCAACCTCGTCTGCGAGAAATTTATCTTCATCTCCAAACAAATCATCATCCACAAAAACGCCGATTCGGGACGCCGCGCTCACTAAACCCAAGGACGACAAACTAGGCTTCTCCTGATCTTTGACGGCTATTACGGGTCGTCCAGAATCCATTGAGCCCCGATTGGACTCGCGGTCATTGTTCGTCAAGAAGCTTCCTTCAGCGTCTTCGGCGTCTCCAAATAGCGAGGCTCGCAGATCTTCTGCAGTTTGAGGGCGGTCATCATCCATGATGCTGTTCAGGGCTTCTTCGACAGCTTGAACAACGTGTGTATCTGGGGTCACCTGTAGCGGTAGTTCAGGTTCACCAGCACTGTGTACCGAGTCCATTAACCCATCATTGTCTACATCATCGTCATCAAACAGTGGTGCTGAGCCAGTCTCATCCAGCGACCGCCGAGACTGTGTCAGAGGGTCTGGCCCGTTAGAGTTGCCATCAATGCCCCGCAGGTCCGATGTAGAATCGGATCGTCTGGTGGTGTAGCTGGAAGCCGATGTTGCAAGTCGAGAAACCGGCTTTGGCCTGGCCTGGTAAGATTGTGGTGCTCGAGTTGCAGGTGGATGAGTTGGGGGTAAAGGAGGCGGTGCCAAGTTCGCCGTGGACGACTCTTGTGAGGCAAGGCACTTGTAGTACAAATCAGACTTCTTGAAACCGTGGTAGTGTTGCGACTGCATTTCCTCCAATACTGCACTTTGTGCTTTTAAAATAGATTTCCTGGCTCGATGATATTGCAGAGGCGTTGCAGATTTTCCAGCTTCAAGAAACTGACGGACCTCCCGGCGCGACGATTCTGGAACATGCAATTCAGGCTTCGACAAATACGCTTGGTTGATTTGCTGCAGGTCCATTCGGTCAGAGTCGGACCACATAGGTAGGTTGGAGGAGGCCGGTTCATCCTCTTGGCCATCGTCTTCCAATGGATTTCGAAACCCATCAACTACAAGCCAGAACTGTACCAGAGACATTAAGCGCTGCCGGTCCATGTATTCCATGAAATACGACAGTCCAGATGCGTCTCTCAAAAGTTCCACAAGAGAGACATTTTCCAACTTGGATGTGACAGAAGCACCAGGTGCAGGTGCTGGGTTAAATGAAACAGGCTGTCGATCACCTCCAGCAGCCAGATGCTGAACCCTTTGATCCAATAATCGCTTGCCCATTTCCAGGCGACGCAAATACGCCGGGTCCTGATTCACCTGTAGCGAATCTCGTTTCAGTTGACTAGCGACCTCGCTGCGGAAACGGCGTGCATCCGACAAGTTGTTTACTTTTCGTATGGCCCGAATAAACTTTTCGAACTTGCGCTCACTGTCGCCTGGCGCAAGTCGGGGAGCCGGTGCCATTTTCACCGTTCGAGGTGTTGGTGACGCATGCTGATCAAGAGCTGCCCTGAGCTTACGAACTGTCGATCTGTCTTGCAACATGGTGCGGCCGTAGTTTTCCATGACTTGGTTCCAGGTATCGGGATCTGACAATAACTGTAGAACGGGAGACAGAACAGCACAGCTAACAATCTCCCGGATAATAATAGACACAGATCGGCTAGCTAGCATTTTCCCAGGCAGCACCTTGGGGACAATTCTTTCGGCCAGTGACCGTAGATAATCTTGCTGCACAATCTTGGTATCCGGAAAAGAGAGCGACGCAGCAGGGTGCAAACTTCCATCTTTGTACTTGGATGCAATGGCAAGGTCCAGCTCTTCGGATTCCGTAACCGAGCGGTTTAACTTTCTGCCTCGCACAGACTTTTCAGCGTCGTAGAAATCGCGGAAGTGCGCCGTGAGAATGGGGATAAGTCGACTCGTAACAATCTCGGCCAGATCTTTGTCACGCAACGATTCGAGCAGATTCGTAATTGCCAGGCGCACTGCCCGATCAACCTCGTTCGGAAAGACCGGGTTCCGGCTGATATGAGAATACCAACTGCACACAAAGTCGCGAAGAATCAGGTCCAACAGGCCATCGACGGCATCAAGGACATGCGGTGAGCATCCCAGCTCCAGTCTCTGCTTCTCGTAGGCTTGTCGTTTCCTCAAAGCGGACACTTCTTTCTTCCACCGACCGGCGCCGATAAAAGATGCTCTAGGAAGTTGATACGGCTTCTGTTTAGGTCGCTGCGCGGTCAATAGTAAGGTTGCGACGAGGCCGATGATGGTGACAAGGATGCCGGCGACGAATGCATAGCCGGCCCATCGCAACACGGAGAACCAGCTCACAGCATAACCCCAAGCAACAAAGGCAGCTACGGCAGCGATAGCCACATCTCTCTGCTTTAAGGCCATGGCCGGAGCTGCGGACGATGGAGCAGCATGGTCTGACGTCTGGTTACCAGGTATGAGGAATCGGGGGTCTTTGTGGAGGTCAAGTGTCGAAGGTCGAAGGGGTCTGGTATCTCGAGTGGTTGCAGGGAACACTTGAAACCAGGGAGCGATAAGAGGCGTGGAGCCTTGTCTACAGACTACTCCGTACAAGTAACAGTTGAGAAGAGTGCTCTTATCGATAATGCTGAGGGCCACTGGAGCTACGGGAGCTTTCTGCCCAAACTGTCTTAGTGCTGCTGTCAATTAGGTAAGTTACCGCCTACGCCTACTCCGTACCATGCATCAATGGTCGTACATGCCTGCCCAGTGGGTGTGTGGCATCTCTTCTCGAGTCCTGCCACACAAACTCCAAAGTACTACTGCGAAGACACCTTTTGCAGCTGTGGGTGCACAATGGCCGCATATCAAGACGTTTGGCTACAGCCAAAGCAGATGATGTTTACGTGAGCATTGCACGCACATGAGGAGCATCCATTGTCCCGTCCGTCTATGCTGCGCAATTTCCGGGTATGAGGCGAGACAACTTCCCACCCGCCTACTCCCACGGAGGGTCTTCTATGCGCCGGAACAAGGCTACAAACTTCTGTCCCTTATTCCTCGCCACCTTCTTCCCTTCTTCCGTCTCATTCTGCATAACTTTGACACACTCATCTTTCTCCACCTCCTCCTCGGAAACCCGCTCAAATGAGGGATGAGTATCCAGGTGCTGCACCATCCATTGGTGCAAAGCTTCCACATCCGTGATGGTGTATACAATACCACCAGGTCGCAGGGCGTAAGCATACTCTGAATTCAATGTTGTTGAGACAATCCTTGCCTTGTGTTTTCTAGCCTTGAAGTGTGGGTCGGGGAAGCAGATGAAAATCTTGCTCAGTTGGGCTTTTTTGAAGAAGTTGGGGAGAAACTTCATCGTGTTGGCTCGTATACAGGCGGCGTTTTGGTATAGCTTGCCTTCATTTTGCTCCCGCAGTGCCCATATTTTTTCCTGCACAAACTGTGTTACACTTGTTCTGATTTCCAGTCCTACAAACTAGATTAGTATCACGAAATGCCATCATCCAGCTGCAATTCAAGGGTAGTACACATACCTAACAGCAGGGTCTCTGGTAAAAGAGGGGCCAATGCGACAAGTAAACCTCCAAAGCCGCATCCAATATCCACAACTTCCACGTCTTTTGTCAACTTTTGAAGGTGAGTCGATTCCGCTGGGGATGTGTCTGCTGCGTATGCCGGATAGTACGATGACCAGTCCATTGCCTCCGGAGATGACGGGCTGCAGAAAGAAATCAGCATACGATACTCACAGATATCGTATCCGGCAAAGCGGAGCAGCATTCAGGCAGTAACATACTATTCAAGGGTATGATCTGAAAAGGGATTGGCATGAGCACGCTGTCGATAGAATCGTTTCCGTGGGAGTCTCGCGACACCAGCTTGATCCTTGGCGTGGCTAAAGTTCTGGCGGTTTTGCCGCTTATTTGGTGCCCCAGGCATTGTGAGAGGTTTTCCCTGTCAGTTGTTGCGTGTGCTGCGTGCAATCGCTTTCATAGATAGATGTCTAGGTAGTTATCTTATTGAGCTCTTGGTCATGAGAAGCACTTTTGCGCCTACTTTGTCAAACCATATGCCAAACAGGAAGGCGGTGAGGGCCGACGCCCGCTCACACCATCTGTTTTGGGTGGTGCGCCATATCTCCCCGCGCCCGCTTGACCCGACAGCCAAACATGCCATCACCTCTCCTGAAAGTCGTCTCCAGATCGCAAGCCTCATAACGGAAGATTAACACTTCTTGCACGCTCCGCGAGCATCCCTGTAGGCTGTATCGAAACTATCCCCGTGTATAGCTTGCTTAACGTAGCGCAATAATGTCTGAACCTGTACAGACAGGCTCCTGGGACTTTGGTCACCTCTTCGTCCCTCGGTCTTCTTCCTTTGTCATTCGGTCTATTTCAGCTTTATGCGTATGCGCGTCCAACATTTCATACTCATGGTGGTCTAGCTCTAACAGTCGCACTTTTGGGAATAGGCATTTATTGGCACCATTTTTATTTTACCGCTATTCTTCTTCCTTGCCATAGACATATCTCTGTGGGTATGGAGGCACCTCTCGAGTCGCAACGAACCCCAGAACAGCGAGTCAACGTCGCTGAGCTCTAGCACAATGAAGACTTCGGCCACTTCTTCCACAAGCGTGACAACGCCGGGCGCACAAAGGACACGCAAGCGATGATACAACTACTCTCCATGCCCACTTGAAACATTCTTTTCTTTCAGGATATTTGGGACGTCTGTAATTTGTTTAGGCCAGCTGGCCAATAACCTTGATTAAGTCTGCGGTTACGCCCATTGCGGTAACATCTCCGCCAGCGCCAGCGCCTTGAACAATGAGAGGGTTGTTTCCGTACCGCTTTGTGTAGAAGCTGATGATGTTGTCACTACCCTTCAGGGCAGCAATAGGGTGGGATGGGTCAAAGGTCTGGAGGCCAACCTTGACATCCTTGGCACCGACGTCGATGCTGCCAACGAATCGAATAACCTTGTCCCCAGCGGATGCCTTCTTCTCTTCCATCTGCTGATCAAAAGACGGAAGCTTCTCCATGAACTCGTCGCCGCTGGAGCAAGACTCCAACTCCTTGGGAATCAAGCTCTCCACCGGGAAGGAGGTTGGTGACTCAACGGGCAAGCCGGCCAGACGAGCCAAAATGGTCAACTTGCGGGCAACATCCAAGCCGTTAAGATCGTCACGAGGATCAGGTTCCGTATAACCAAGAGCCTTGGCTTTCTTAACTTCCTCTGACCACTTACCACCACTACCAATGACAGGAGCAAAGGAGTTGAACAGGAATGACATGGTACCACTGAAGACACCTTCAATCTTTGTAACTTCGTCGCCAGTCTCCACAAGGTCTTTCAAAGTCGAAATCACGGGCAAGCCAGCGCCAACGGACGACTCGTGGTAGACCTTGGCTCCAGAAGCGGCGGAAGCCTGGAAAATATCCTGCCACAACTGATATGATCCAGAGAAGGCCTTCTTGTTTGGGGTTACAATGCTAACTCCAAGCTTCAGAGCCGTGGGGTATGTTTCAGCAACCTCTTGGGAACTTGTGTTGTCGACAATTATGGCTTTGCCGGGTGCCTTGCTTAGATAGGCAACTAGGTCGGTCAGAGTAGGGGGAGCCTTGGAGGAAGCGGCCAGAACGTCGATGGCATTGTCCAAGTTGATAGCCGAGTAATCGTCATTGTAGAGAGCTCTGCGACTAGTGGAAATGTAACAGAGACTCAACTTGGGGGAGGGTCGGCGGACTGCGAGATCTCGGAGCTGGGTCAAGAAGCACTTTCCCACTCCACCAGCGCCTGCATCCGCTTGGTGGTTAGTATTCAACTAGGAACTAGAAATCACATTCAATTAACTTACCAATCACGGCAATGAAAATCGTGCTTGCGCTCGCCATATTGTAAGGTGTTATTGGTAGAGCCAGGTGTGAGGGGACAATTTCTCTGCTATCCGATAGCGGGGGAGGGCATTTGGCGTGATCGTGTGGGCTGGGAATGGAGGGGCAGACTGTGGCTAGGGCACGTAAGTAACTGGTTACTCGTGGCTAATGCGGTGGCTGGGTTCAAGTGCCGTCTATCGGCTTCGCGGTCCAACACCAGATGATGCCATCCAAGATATCTCGTCCTCCAACTTGCAAATTTTCCGTCTCCAGACTAGGAGGGTCCTGATGTACCAGGCGAAAACGTATCTGATACTACGAATCATATGATGAAGCGTTAGCGCCCCAAGGCTAATTACATCGAACCTGAGCTGAACCTTGTGCCGGATTTGTTGATTTGTATTTTCTTTGCATCCTCGAGGAGAAAGCACAACCTTACACATACATCAGCCTCGCACGTCCTCATAGTCACAATTGACACCTTGCATTGCCAGACAACAGTAGGCTATATACAAGATGCCTCAAGATCCAAATCTGTACGGCCAGCGGCCGGCCAAGAAGCAAAAGAAGAACACGGCACTCTCATCTTCTCTAGATTTTACAGCACAGTTAACGTCACTCATGTCAAACAGCACATCATCTGCATCGACTTCGGGACGTACTAGGCCTTCCAAGGAACCAAAGGACGATATATTCCGAAGCAGCAAACCAAAGCAGCAGAGCTCCCGAAAGGATGATGGCAAACTGGTACTCAAGGAAGTCGCCGGAACGGAAGAAGAGACACGAAATCTGGCGCGTGCGAGGCGGAAAATGGAAGACAAGGCGCGGCTCTATGCAGCGATGAAACGAGGGGACTACGTACCAAAAGAGAATGAGGCGGCTCCTCTGGTGGACTTTGATCGGAAATGGGTAGAGAATGTTGAGGGGAAGGAAGACTACTCAAGCTCAAGCTCTGATGACGACGACGGAGACGACGCCAACGATGTGATAGAGTACGAAGATGAATTCGGACGACTCAGACGCGGGACTAGGGCTGAAAAGGAACGGATGGAGCGTCGAGCACGGAGAGGATTACTGGGCGCAGAAGAACTTGAGCGCATGTCCGCGCGACCAAGTGCGCCTACGAACCTGATTTACGGGGATGCTGTACAAGCAATGGCTTTCAATCCGGATGACCCCGAGAAGATGGAAGAGCTGGCTCGAAAGCGGGACCGCAGTGCAACACCACCGGACCAGAAGCACTACGACGCTGACAGTGAGATTCGGACAAAGGGCGTTGGCTTCTTCAAGTTCAGCAAAGACGAGGAGACCAGGACCAAGGAAATGAAGGAGCTGGCAGAAGAACGCGAGCAAACCGAAAAACAGCGCCAGGCTCGTGAGGATCAAAAGAAAGCCCGACGTGGAGAAATTGAAAAGCGCCGACGCAACATGGGCTCACGACGGGCTCAACGCCAGGCGGACAGCTTCCTGGAGGGATTGGCGGAATGAGAGGCTCGGCTCGGCCAGACAGGGCAACGGCATGAGAGGGATGGGGGAAGGACGATTTAGCCCGTTAGTACGGAGTACTCCATCGGTCGCGTATGTACTCCGTATGCAGCCATGTTCTCGTCCAGTTACGGAGCACAAAAAGGAGACTACCAGTCGTATCATCAATGAAACCAACCAGCCTCACTTCTGCGATGGAACCTATCACCTGCTTCCGAATGTCCCAAAGCCGCCCCCCCGAGGCATTAAGGCCGGGCACTTTTTCAGAGAGTGTAGATGACCCGACCATTGCTCGCCTACCTGACCTGACCCGACCATTGTAATTGACCTGACCTGACTATTACTATGGGGTAATAGGCTATTATAATTGGTTTAATATTTGTAAGAGATTTATTCTTTATAAATTAATAAAGATACTTTTACTTTAACTTAAATACGTTTTATATTCGCTTATCTTTCTTATAATTTAAGAAGACTTTAACTTTATAATTAAATTACTATATAACGTAAGCTTTAATATAAATTTATAGTATTATATATAATTAATTAATTGAAAAAAAATTTAGCTTAAATTAAGCTAAAATAAATTCTTATACTCTTTTTATTAGCTTTACCTTTATTAACGTAGTATACTACTAGATAAAACGCTATAATTTAATATGCTTTTATTATTATTATTAAAGTTAAGGTTATCTTTTAAATAATCTTAATTTATAGCTTTAAAAATTATAATACTAATAAATCTTTCTTAACTAGAACTTTAATTATTATTTATACTTAAATTATTATTTAAGTTATTTAACTTTAAATAATTTTATTATCGTTTTTATAAAAACTACAAAACTATAAAACTACACTACAGTTAATGCTCTAATTATAGCTAGTAAAGAATTCTAATCTTTAAGTGGTATTAATAATATAGTATAATATAGCTTAAGATAAATTATAAAGTAGCGCTTATATTAAACCTAAGTAAATAACTCTAGCTATTACTTTATATATTATACGTATTAGAATTAATTTAAATTATAATTAGAATAATTAATAAATAAATTCTTAAACCTTTAATTAAATTACATATTTAATTATCTTAAAAAAAAAGTTATATTATAATATAAGAGTTTAATATGTTTTCTTAACTTAAATTTACTTAAAATTAACTCTTATTAAATTTTAAATTAAAAAGTATACTATTAATATCTTAATAGTAATTTAAGCTAGTATTATTTTAATTTAAATATTAACCTCTTTAATCGCCTCTTAAGTTACGTAGCTAATCACGTGCCCTTACCTTCTTCTTATACCCACAGGTCGTGCCTGTCCTAGCCGGTGCGGTCCCGTCTCGTGTCTTGTATAGTATTATTCGTAATAGAGACGTATTCTTCTATAAAGTATATAATAAACTATGATATATAGGATTTATACCGCTACTTAAAGAGTAGCTTTTATACTATAAAAGCGCGTAAGTATAAACATGCATTTAATAATAATTAATTTACGTTAAATATTAATTATTAGTAAATATAAGAAGTTCTCGTATTAAAATTAGTATTAAATAAACTATAAAAAAGTTACGTTCACGTATACCCTTATTTATTATTAAGGATAAGTAAGCTTTTTATATTAAAGAGACTAAGAATTAATAGAAGTTAAGCTTAGTTTTTTTATTTTTAAAAAAACATAGTATTAAGGCGTAAAAAAATACCCCTAGTATATACTTTACTTTTTTCTTAGAAATAGAATTAAATGTTTAATTAATAGTATTATCTTTATATAGAATTTTATAATTATACGTGAATAAATTATATAGAGTTTAATAATAATACGTGAATAAATTATATAAGAATTCTAAAGAAATTTCATGTGGTATTCTAAAGAATAAAGCTTACCTAATATAAAATACAATACAATACAGTATAGTAAAAAATACAAAAAATACAATACATTTAGAGGTCTGATAATAATATAAGTTATTTACGCTTACTATTAGGCCTAGTATTATTTTAAGAGTAATATTTTTTTATATCTCTTTTAAAGTAAATTTAATAAAAGTAAATATAACTTTAAGCTTATTATTTTTAATTTTAATATAAAGGATTAATATTCTTTTTAAGATATAAGCTTAAGCCTAAAACTTATAAGTAAATACCTTAATATATATTATAATATATAATATAACTTACCTTAAGTATATTATTAATTTTAATTAATAATAACACCTATTAATTTAAGTGAACTTTTCTTATTAATATTATTTTAAGATATAAGATATTTTTATTATATCTTAATATTAAACTCTTT